TATCACCGATTAGAATTTCTTTTACTATTCATCTTTCTCTCTTTCAGTAATCTGAGATTAGTGATTTTACTAGGGACACATTGAAAAACATAAGTTTTAGTCAAAAGAATAGGGACATGGTAAAGGGTGTTTCAAAATCATATTGTCACGTCTCCGTTTGTTAGTTAATTTTCCGCAAATTTGTTCCGACGAAACTTTAGCGACACAAGTCCTTTCTTAAATAAAACTGGTTTATTCTTTCCGAATATAACTTTGCGGTACACTTAATTTCAACATTCGCACTATAACAAACGCTATAATTCTCAACGAACGTCTCACTTGTTCGACTACAACAATACTCAGTTCAATTACACATTGTTCCGTCACGTTGTGACCGTCTTATATATACCAGACTACCCCCAATCTAGTAATCTCCCGACAATTCAGGAAGGTTCGAGAAGGACGTGGCGTGATATTAGTCACGTGACCTTGCTGACGCAACAATATTATACCATATACATAAACTGGTTTTCCGAAAAATTCGCATTTTCCCCTTCTATCTCTTTCAGCAATATAAGATTGGTGTATGTCTATGTGCAGGACATTGTAAGAATCAATGACCACTGTCCAAAAGAGTTATTTCCTGCAGTGGTGTCGTAAAGAGTAGGCTTGATGAGAGTTTGAGAATGATGTAAGGAATATTTAATGTCTTATGTGTCAGTTTTTGAAATACCCTGTACCACACCCAAACTTTCCTGAATTAAACTTATTTTTCTCAAATGTACCTTGAAACCTAGTTCTCTTGGGACAAGTAATTTTAAGGTATCATAATTTTAAATACTAGGTTTTTCTTATAATCACTTATTTACATACAGTATTATTATTACATATATATTATTATATATACAATATTAAAATATAAAAGCCTAAAATATATTTTTATTTTATTTAGCTCCAGAAATTGTTAATTTTGAGCCTGTTACTCTAGCAACTGATATGTGGAGTGTAGGTGTTATCACATATAATTTGTGAGTATATGCCATTATTCCTCATTTTAGAGTAAGTAACTTAGAACTGAACATAATAATGTAATATTATTAAGAAAATAAATATATACAGTTTAAAAATAGAGAAGAAAGAAATGCTAAAAGAGAACAGAAAAAGGTCTTGGGGTGAAATCATTCTTTTCATTCAGCTCTAGTGGAACATACTTATAATTAAAGTCACAGTATTCACCTTTTCTATTTTGTGTAAAAAAGAAACTTTAAAAAGCTTATATTTTGAACTTAGTTTAGAATTGAAAACAAAACTTACTGTAACTAACATGAAATAATTACCTGGCGGTCTCTTATCGTTTGCTACTTATATATTTTATATGCCACAATCATAGTATAATATTTTGTTTACTGTAACTTGTGAAATTCTGTATTGATGTACCTCTGATAATAGAAGTGGCTAACCTTTAGAAACTTTTTTTTTATTATTATTTATTATATAGTCATTTTTAAGTGTTCACCAAGAAAGAATTTCTAAAGAAACATCTGGAATCAGTTTATCGTTAATTCAGAGTTGCTTAAAAGACTATTAAGAAAGAATAACTGCTCAAATATTCAAAAGCAAATACTGAGTGTTTACTTTTTCTTTAAATTACTGGTTTCTAGCATCCATTTATTTGTTTTGAACTAGCTTAGAGCTGGTAGTAAACAAAGGATTTAAATATAAAGTAGTTTAGACAGATTAAAAACCAAAGGTGCAATCCTATTGAAGTGACTGAATAATTTAAGAACTTTTTCCACATCTGTTATAATTTGGCATGTGAACTTACCTGTGTAATAGTCAGTGATCCTAAAAGGATACATAAAACTGCAAGGAAATTTCTCCTGACATTTCCCCTGATACCTCAGATGAATCTGTTGCTAGTTTTTCCATGTAGGTTTTAAGAATGCAATCAATTCTCACACAAAAAAATATTTTTCAAAAATATTATTGTTACAACATCGAGGTCACCTGACTAGTATCACGCCACGTCATTCTCGAACATTCACGTCTTTT